AAACCCAACGACTCTCTGCCATAAGGGACAGTTTGTCAAGAAAGAAGAGACTTTTATACCTAACACAAAACCCTTGCTGCAAGAAGATACAGCCCATCTGGTTTGTAAGATACGGTCAGTTTCTGCACTCCAACTGTTCGTCAAATTCAAAGCTGATCTATGTTACGATGTCAGAGACCGCCGTTAAATCTGTAGATACTTGTACCCCCGGGTGTGTTTGGGTGGATCAAATGTAGTTAATTTCGGGATCTGGAAATTTACTAGTCTACCAAAGTGAACGGCTTTCCATTCATAATTTGTTCAATCTGTGCATAAAAACTAAACTATTCCATCAATTCGTTTACTCCATGTCTCGAGTGCCGTCGCCAATTGAACGCGACCCCTTTTGAATGAGTGCCGACAATGCGCGGACCACCATTCACAGTAGCTCTAGTAAATTTTCGTCCGCATATACCTAGCCGCCATCGTCTTTTCATAATAAACCCTGAATAGCTACATGGATGCTTGAAATCCTGACCTAATATACTGATAAAACGATCTAACTGACGGTAATAAAAAAAACTAGTTGGAATCTTCACATCAGAGTGATGAATCTTCAGAGTCAGTGCTCTATCGGGTACAAAGCGGAAAGAAGTCAGCCAATTTATCCAGGCTGTCCATACGAACCAAACTGATGGCACCTATTATATGTCGTGCATAAATTATATACATGATAATAATCCCATCCATGGAGTGAATAAATACAACATTTATTCGAATTTCTCTCATGCTTATCTCCATAGATGATGGCTGATTGAATTTTTGAGATGGCAGAGACACAGAGGTAGTGACGGCAATTACAAAGTGCAACTGGGATCATGTCAGAACCGAAGCAATATTTCGCGGTTCTCTGTAAAATTCCTGCTTCTGCTAGTTTCCTGCGATAAGTGATTCAACACATGTGCTCCATATTCTGAAGCAGCGGCTTTAGAAGGTCTGCAGATTTGTTTAGTAAATGGTCGATCTTTTATTTAAGAAGCAAATATTATTTTCAGCAGGCATCACTAGTCATCGAGCGGGCAGCTGAAAGGTTACTTTTATCCGTGTTTACCAACTATATGCGCCTGTTTTCGGGTTGCTGTCCTACTATGCTTGTTTGCATGAAGAAACGCCCCAAAATGAGTGTATTTCGCTAATTTCGTGTAATTTGACTTCAAGTAGAACATAAAGTTGATGGAAGCTCGGGGACTGCGCCTACCCGATGAGCCCCAAGAAGGGCTAAACCGATCTGGGGCTGTCGACGAGTTTTTAGCAACCTTATGAGTAGTGCATTACGAATACACATGAACACCAATAGAATTTTTGTGCATTCAGTCTCTTGTTCAGTGAGTTCATTTGCAACTAGCATGCACAGTCAAGTGCGGTAAATTGAAACGTCCTTGTCGTGCAGTCGTCGCTCAACCGACCGGCTCAAAATGTTCTGGTTCCTAACAAATAAGTATTTGTTCTATCCTATCTTTTGTCTCTGAGGCCCTTTATCTCAATCAGTTTCTTTCCGTAAATTTTTCTGAATACTTTCGAAGCACTGTACCTTGTGAACAACTACAATGCGACCAAACACTCTGGACAATCACAAACAGAGCAGCCTTATTCTATGACATGCCTTCCCACAGTTGGGAAATACATCTTGAAAGGTGCATGCAGCCCTTTTTCGACCTAACGATCTTCTGACCCTTTAATTGGTTGCAAATATTTGACTCTCCGAGACACCAGACGGACAGTCTCAGTGTTTATTTTCTCTAAATATGGACAGTTTTTTTCATGGGGAACTGACGTACTTTTGATTTCTTTCGAGACAGTGTGGTCCACCAAATGAGTTTATTTCCTACCATGCGAAGGGTTGGCGAACCTAGTAAAACATGGATAGGTCATCCTTGTTTCACGGATTGAACACCGAAACCACATACAGAGTAAATATGGACTTTGTTCGTCCGCGTTAACCATGTGTTATAGATCTGCGATGCTATTCTTGGTGTCTTCATGTGTGGCCCACTGTCATCTATCTTTCTCTGGTCTGTGGAGGATTTTCCACGGTTCTCGTGAAGGTTTTGTGCTGCTGAAATTCCTACTGAAGAGATAAAGTTTTCTATTTCTGTGATTCATTTGTGACTAAGGTAATCGATCAGTATGTGGCTGTATAAGCCAAGCTACTTCTCATGTACTTACAATGAAATTCAAACGTGGTCTATGAGATAGGATGGGAGTTTCATGTAGATCTGTCGCGACCATAGTAGAAAAGTTAAAGCACAGGAACCTTATGAGGCGACGAAAAATCTGACCCACATGGCAGTGTAGGGCTGCTTCAAGCATTCAAAATTGCAACGCGGGTGCCTCCCAACCCACAACTGCCAGTTAGAGGAAGAGTGCTCTTCCGTGCGTGGAGCTGTCTACTGGACAACACGAACTAAGCGGTTACACAACATCAGACAAGGATGTACAGCTCTCGGTTGCATAGAGTTTTTTGGAAGGGGAGCATTCTCAAGTGTCACCTTGAACTTTCCTGAACTTTCTTGGAATATTAAACAACGATTAACAAGCACTGCAGGGCTCTTGCATAACTCCCATTTTAACCTATCATCAGATGCGGGTTGAAGCTTTGACAGCAGACCAGACACTGTTCACATGTTTCATCATTAGTACACACCAGTGCTGTTAGCCAACGCTGCATTTGATGAATTACTCATAGGGCACTCTTTTACAACAGAGGTTAATATATAGAACAGCAGCTCACCGTTTCCAAGTAGTCTGAGCTGTTATGCAGAACAACTTCATTCAACTAAGGGGAAAGGACATATCTCGGGCCTGTCGGGACCGGAGATACGTCTCAGATTTCAGTTCAGTCTTGTACTGTGTCCCGTTCCTTTGGTTTGGGTACCTACCAGGAAGCCAAAAAGCGTTAGTATTCTACTCGGTTCGAGTGTGGATAACGCACAAAGACTGGATGTTTTCATCAACGTAGACTCCTCAGCAAGGCTAAGCTAACGCGTACGCAGCTCTGGAGCTCGTCAGATACGTTTGCTACCGGGATGGACCGCAATGCAACAGCTACAAGGGTCTAATCTCTCCCGGAAGATTTGCCATGACTGGCATCTTCGTGTGCGGAGATGTCACAGTAAGCAGACAGTAAATTCTGCTTCATGGTCAAAACTGACAGGAGTACCAGTGTGAGTACATCGGAGCTTGACAGATGCACAACCACGTAAAAATCTGTTTAGGAGGCCAAGCCACTACGAACCTTCGCAACTTCATGAAAAACGGGAAGGACGGCACTCAATCGATTTCCGTCTAACCCACTACTTTTCTCAGTCCCTCTTTCGGCTAGGAAAATCAGCTCAGTAGCGGAATATCGACACGAAAAAAAGGACGTTTTGTATTTCCGAGGTACTCAACATTCCACTTTCAATTCCCTGACTGTCATTACAATGAGGGTGTCTTGTAAAGCCGTGAAACTTAGTCAATATCTGATCAAGGTTTTGTAGAAAAATTCTGTTCTTGACTGACTCTAGCTAACGTTGACAGTCAGTCTCAATTTTCGGCAAACTTTGGTTGAGTTGGTCCAGATGGAATCAGGATTCCTCATCCGACGGTAGCTAAACTTTTGCATAATATTTATAGTAAAGTATAAGATGATAAAGTGATGAGCTGCGGTCAGATCTTATCGCAGTTTCGTTCGCGACGCGCTTGCGCCAGCAAACCAAACAGAATGAGGATCAGTATTCGTGGAAACTTCTCAAACTAAAAGTCGTGGAGTAGTTTTTGCTGTGTGATAATTCTAATATGAGCTTTCTTGAAGATGCGTTATTATTGTTCCCAAACCAAACGTAAATCGCCCAAAGTAGGAGTAACAGCAAGAGAATAAGGTGGATGACGGATCCGTATGTCGCATCCACCACTAAGCTATACACCTAGTGAACAATCATGTGGAATAGTCCTATATATTTCTAACAAACATAGCTCGTTGCTTCCGTCATGAAGGTGATTTGACTGTTTGTGTGCCTCTCTGACCCACTGGAAAGGTATCTCTGTGACAGTTGCAGAGTTTCTCACACTAGGTTTGACTTGGATCTCCCGTCAGACACCGCTGCCTTGCGGTCAGGGTTTTGACGAAAAGGCTTTGGTCAAGGACCGTAGTCGTCCTTCTCCCTAGGTTTGGGCAGTCTGTCAATATTCCAATTCGCATACAGACGTCATACTCACAACAGCCAATACACTCCCATGCCAAATCGCATGGTATCACCAGCCTTGGTTAATGCATAGAGCGGGGTGGGTAAGCAAAGCCGGGCTACTGCTGACAACTTCCTTCTCCCTCTTTAGCATACTTTTTCCACCCATCTCGTCCTCTTGACACCATTTTAAGTGTAGAACTATCCTCTAGAACTGACGATCTCGTTCGTCTTGTGTCGATCTTGGTCTGCCGATCAGCCTGCACAGATAGCTTCAGGCATCCCGAAATCCATCTTTAGGCTTCGACGGCTGACCGCACGCTGAGGCAAGCAGGAAAACAAGCTGCTCTTGCTTTCGCAGTGAACCAGATTGACATTAGTGTGCTGAGTTCCAGAAACGATAGTTCAAGATACGTACGGCAGCGAGACGTCAGTGCCTGAACACTCATGTCATGGTGTTGATGATGATGATGACGAATATGGTGATGAATATGGTTAAATTTTGCTACTTTTCAGGTACCATTCAATAAATTAACTATATACCGGTGTAGTGGGTTCGCTCTGGTTCTCTGCAGTTGTAGTGGATGAAATGTGGTGCCCACTAGGTCACTTCAGCTAAATGCCGTTCGAATTTGTGGACAAACGCTTCCTGACGGAAATTTCTTACTGGGGAAGCTATTATTTGCGGGGGGGGGGTAGGGCCACAGGGTAATCCAGTAGTGAGACAAGCAAAACTTCAGATTCTGTTGAACTCAGTGGGTTCAATCACAGCTTTTAGGGAACAGATCAGCGAAAAGATCAGCCAAAAAAAATCCATTTTTTTTTAACGAATACACTCATTTGCAAACTAATTTGGTTTTTCGAGAGACTCACCTGGAACCCAGCTGAATCTCTCGTTTGGGATGTTCTCAGGCAACTGAATGTGCTGCGCCAGGCCGCCTCATGTTTCAGTCGCTACGATATTCGAGATATCGCGATACATGTTTATTTTGTAATGTACTACTCATAAGGTTGCTGGTGAGCTCCAAGAAGGGCGAAACCGGTCGTGGGCTGTCGACGAATTTTCAGCAACCTTATGAGTAGTGTATTACAAATATCCATGTTTTATTTGGATTCTTTATTCACATTACAGATCAAGTAGGTTGTTCAATTAGTATTCTGCGTTCAGCAGATTTGATCAGTCTGATCCAACTGACTGTATAAGACTCAGCACTGACATTTGTCTCCAGTCGGACTCAGCGTACGTACCTGACCACAATAGCATTTGAACTACATCTTGCCATGGACACTTGAAAGCTGTTGTAAGCTGTCAAATATAGTTGATGCTTCAAAATTTACGAATAAACTGAGGTTTGGAGGCCACGCCATTCTGATAAATCCAAAGAAGAGTAGAGCTAGTAGTGGGCTGTCGAAGTGACCTTAGAAGTAGTGTGGTTTGTCAAGAACAGATGCTATATCAAGTTTGCACACGAGGTAGAAGGGCATGACAAATAGTTCAGACATGTTGCTTTGACCGCTGCCGATTTCACCATTACTAAGAATCACCCACAAATGGAACTATTGATTGGTAATTTTTGCACCAATCAGTTTCAAAGAACAAAACTTAATGGCCAAACCGAGGGGCTTATCTCATTATGCAAGTTCGATTAGATTAGTCAAGTCAAATTTCCAGGCCTACCCTAATTACGTGCAATTCCCTTTCTTTGAAAGGGAGATGAGGGGTGAGAGAATGCATGCCATTCTATACCAGCATAACCGATAGCAACGAAGATTCTGGCTGAGAAGTACCATTGAAACGAGGATAATACCATTATGCTCTAAGAAGCATCCTGGTAACACTGAGTTTTGAGGATGACAAAGAGGAACCCCCGCTCAAACCACCTGTTCATGGGACCAAAGCTGAATAATATATTCAACGTTCAGTATTTGTGGCTTTTAGCAAGTTAGTCTCAGAGAACAAAGCTATGTGCACCCTCCTCCTCTTCAAAATATCTCGGAGTGACTGTTCAACTTATTGTTGATTTGTGTGGACCTATGTCCCCGACGGATGGAAATTTTGATTGAACGAACAAAGTCACACTCACTTGCATACCCAATGACTGTTCAGTTACGCTACAAGTGTGATGCAGGCACCAATCGATGGATGTACACACCACTAAGAGCAGTAAGGTTTCAAAGTATCACAGCTCATGCATTCAGCCAATGAGTTCACTGACAACCAGTCGCGAATGTACGCGCCAGAGTAGACCAAGGTATTCTCAACTCATCCATCTACTCAACGGCTACACTGAAAGTTGATCTGAGCCGATTGCAGCTTTGATGCGTCAAACGGCACAGGCTTTTATCCTCCGTATACAGCAACCTGCATATAAAAAGCCACGTAGATTGAAATACACTCATTCGAAAATTTCACGTGTACTAACGAGACTCAACCGAATCCCTCGTTTGTAATACTCGACAACCTTATCAGCAGTGTAATACGATAACAAAATTTACTTCAATATGTCGAATGTCGTGATGAGTAGAACATAATTTGGCCAACACGTACAGTTACGGAATATCACAAACGAGAGAATCACTGTGGTCTGTCATTAAGACCAACGCACTTTCCCAGTGAATCTGCTTCTCCGATTTTCAAGCAGAACATAAGGTTGATGGAAACTGGAGAAGTGCGTGTATACGATGAGCTTCAAAGAGGGTGGAGCTAGTGGTGGGCTGGTGGGCAGGATGGCTCAGTGGTTAGAGTGCGAATTTACTGACCGGAAGATCCGTGGTTCGAGCCCGACCTCTGCCTCTCGACTTCCCCTGTCTAGGCTTGGGCAACCTGGCGGTATCCCAGCCCTCGTGCTTCCCTCGGGAGGCATGACAAGCACCGAAAGGGAGCTACAGCTGAACGATCATCTTTTTTTTATTATAGTGGTGGACTGTCGAGGAGTTTTCAGTGTGGTGGTACTTCTGATTTGGTTTCGCCCACGCATTCAGACCGTGTTAGACAGGTTTGCATACGATGACCTCAGCTAGCTGCTAGTCAAGGCATGGTCAACAATATAGCAGTTTCCACGAAAGTTTTTTGTACAGCTAGACAGAGATATCAATACACGTCAAATAGTAAACGTCAGGTCACTAAGGAACTGATGAATTAAGGGGCAACTCGTAAAGGGGCACCAGAATTTATAAAGCAAACACTCACATAGTTTAGCCAAGACGTTGCAGAACGATTCATTCAAGAAAACTTTGAACCCCGGTGGGAGAAAGCAAAGATTTGGGTCAATAAAACTTGAAGAACGAACCGAAATGATTGATGATTTACCGCCACCATAAAGTTTACTACATCTTTCGGGAACTGGAAGATCAATTCTTGGTTTTCAGTCTCCTAATCTGTTTTCCTTGCATGAATTTTGAGCTTTTGGGTCCTTGATCTGGATGGAGTTAATCGTGTCTTTGTGCTCACACAAGACTCAAGAGTTGTAAATATCATTGTAATGGAACAAAAGTTCTGAGTATCTTTGTAATGTACTGCTCATAAGGTTGCTGAAAATCCATGGACAGCCCACGACTGCTTTCGCCCTTTTTGGGGCTCATCAAGTAGGCGCAGTCCCCGGGTTTCCGTCAACCTTCTTCGGAATTCCTTCGGTGCTTGATAGGTCTCTACACGATTTAAGTCTGTTGAATAGTCCCAGATGATATCACAACACAGGGGTTTTGAATAATGCCCTTGACAAGAGCCTATCAGACAGATACATTTATAAGTGGTTTACAAGGTCGGAGGAATAATAAGTGGGATCTTATTGGTTAGAATTTAGAGGTAACTGACCCCCGAACGAGTCTTTGAGTTTCTTTCGGAGTAGGGTCATTGGTTAGCAAACGTAAATTTAACCCCTTCAGATGCGTTTTTGACAGGGTACTAGTTAACGCAACCTGATTGCAATCACCTCGCCATTTCGTATCTGTTTACATGAACGCACGAAAAAGACTGTACAAAGAGGAAGGGGGCCAAATAACGATTTGTTTAAAGTGGCTAAGAAACGAAATCTGAATGATTGGTTAGTAGGTCTCAGAATGATAGGGATGACAATTTCTCACTTGTGTGAGCCACCCAAGGTTCACAAACCGAGCTTCCTGCTAAGACCCGTTCTTGGCATAACAGACTCCGTGTCACGCAACTGCATAACGGCTTAATTGAATACTGAGGCCAGTTGGAGAGTGCGCACAGAGCAACAAACTGGTACGCTCCGTACATGCCACATCCCTCTTTATAGACGTCCCCTTTTCTTTTGAAAAGATTGGCTTTATTTGTGAATTTATTTGACAATCCCACGTTGTTTCTCACTCATAGTCCTAGACAAAGCGAAAAGGCGAATTCCACAGTGCAAAGCATTTCTACTCGGTTGGCCTGTATATAGGCAAAGAGATGGAGTAATGATGAGCTCACTACTCAGTCTCATTTTAGCTAAAAAAATTTCAGAGATTGAACGTATTCTTATGATTAAATGGTTATCATGTTATTCTCGACATGTCAGTGAGATTTTCATCACTTGTGGTTCATTTGATTCAACCGATGATGTCCCTAAAAGTGTTAACTCGGCACCTTCTGCGCTCAGCTTCAATTCAGAGAATAAGTTTCCAATTCTGAACGTTGCGTTGACAAGAAGAGCAGACGAGGCACTGCAGAGAGGGGTGTGCTTTAAAGGAATCTGGTATAGTCAGTACACAAACTTCTATAGTTTCGTTGATATGAGATATAAGGTGTCTATCGAACAGGCTCGTAAGATCTGAATTCACAGTAGGTTTGAAATTATTCGGGAGAACTCTGACCAAGAATGTCTGCCCAGAGAAGCTCACATGTAAAAAAATCTAGTAGAGATTGAGTTCTCAGGAAATCTATCTAGTTGTCGGCGACAGGATTTCTGAAACTGTCGCACGTCGCCTAGCAACTTCTTCCTGAAGAACATTCAGTGCAGTATAACTGAAGTTCCAGTTCTCTAGTACCCACCTGCTTAACACAAATTCGGTAGTAATCTGTTCATTAGTTTACTTATTCTCCACAAATTATGTGGGTCTCATGATTCGGTGTCTATACCGTCCTATCTTCAAACCGGAGGAGCTTAACGTGTGATCAGTGCAATTGCAAATCAACAGGTCAACAAGAGCCACCAAGTCAACCCAGCTAAATACTTCAGTGGGTTTTGTCAACCATCGTAGTCAGGCTGCTTCGACCATCACTTTGTCAGCAACACAAGAGCACGAGGATACTGAATTTGTCTTGTCCAACCAGCGACCTCTCTCTGACAGAAACTCGAACACTGATTTGAGGGCTTGATAATTATGATTTCAAAGCAATAAGATGTTACTTATTAGCAGCTCTTCAACCTTGTGAACTATCTATAAATGTACTTGTCTGACGAGATGTTTTATCAGGAGCATTGCTTGCAACCATCATTTTTGACAGGTTTTACCTCTCTGGTGGTTAGGTTGAATAATATAAAATGGGGTTTCAGCAAAGTCAGAACTGTGGTATGCCTCAAGCGATTACCTGGCGAACTAAACTGATGTTATGCACATCTCCTATGGATTTCCCTTTTTCGTCCAGAAGTATTCACGATTTTTTTATCGCTAGCCATGCCGTAGGCTAGATATTTTTGGAATTAGCTGAAGAAGAACCCAAGTTATAAATCAAGAGACTCATTTGCAGCGATCACGTCACTATGATGGCCCTACGGACCGTGCCTGTTGGGTTCTCCCAATGACCATTCTAAAATGAACGTCCATTTTGGTTAAAATAGCTAGGATAAGCTGTTCCTAACGTCATTAGCTACAAATTTCTTTCATTGAAGTTGGAATTGCGGGCAGTCGTGTCACATCGAGAACAAATTTGTCTTCCTGAATAGGCACTGGGTTACAATGCCCTGTCTACAAACCTCTGTTGGCGCACAGTGTACACAGCAACGAACAATCCATAGGTTACCCGCCTAATCACCTGACCAGCTGGTGATCTAACCTGAGTGTCTATTGCCTTGTGTTGATCATCATCATTTCCATTAGGATTCAATCTGTTTTGAACTTTATTTAACAGCAAGGAACTTTCTGGTGTAGGAGTATCAAGTTCCCATATAATTTAACTCATCAACTCAAACCGTTTACAACAGGCATAGTTGCAATATCCATAGCTGGTGATAGTTCTGTTGTTGCAGTCATATCTATCGTTTATTTTTGAAGAGCATGATCACAAACATAAAGTGTAAATTCAAGCGATGAATGTGGAAGGGCTACAGGAAAATTAGAGGAGAACATTAGATAAAAAGAGAGAAGCGTCTCACTTGAAGTCATGCCACTAACAGTTCCAATCAGACAAGATGAATCTCAAAGTGTGTAAGAATTTTGGTATGGAAACACGCGTGTGAAGACCGACAACAGAGCAAAGAACAAACAATGCTGAATGCTTTTAAGGAGTGGTAAGCGCTAGCACACTCAAGACTCGCGAATCAGGCACAAAGTGTCCGTCTGGGTGTGAGATTCGATGGCCAGAATGTACACTCAACGTCATGTACCACGCATAAAAGGGTCGTAAGTACGCAGAGAGCTCACAATGACAAGCAAACACAAGTCACTGACTGTGACCCTAGGAAGTCCCAGTCCAATAACAGCCTTAGCGGATTGAGGAAAGCAGATCCCTCGATAAGAGATGATCATCGGTTGGTGGACCAAAAAGTCGACATCACAACCGATTGCATGTAGGGCTGAGATTATGGCAGCACCATACGTCTGCTTCTTCTCATTCCACACAGTCACTCCGCGCCCATCCAAGACTATGCTGACATCTATTACAGTTGCTCGGCGATCTCGAACGGCGATTAGGTCAGGTTTGATAAAGGACGTCGAAGAAGGTGCTCTCAACTCTTCGAAGACGGTGTACCCCAGTCGACGGAGACGTGTTGCAAGTTCCCTTGCAACCCGATTACGACGAACACATCTGGCATCATGCGTGATCCAGCAGGATTGCAAAATATGCACCAAATTCTATTTATACCAGTTATCTCTCATTCAAATTCTAATGTTTTACTTCAGCGGGCCTTGTGTGGAAGGAGAAAAACGGTTCCCATTACGATACCGTACGACAATAGCGTAGCAGGTGAAACAACCTCGCAGACTGGGTTCATCATTCACGGACTGTAGCTTGGAAACTTCCACGCGATAAACTTTTGTCTTGGTCACTTTGAAAAAATGTTCACCTTTGAAATGTTCACATCGACACGAATATCGTAACTTTGCATTGAGGGAAATATGGTTTCATGTCGACTGATATCTACAGCGTATGGAAAATTACTGGTTTACTGAGGTACAGCCTACCCCACAAAATCAAGTTCGCTGATTGGTAGGATGTGTGCACTTACGGGCAGCGAGGTTGTAATCATCGTTGAGAATCTTGAATTCTTTTGCGTCTTGAGTGCAAGTATCTCCTTCATCGTTACCCTGCTAGTTTCTCCGGCAAAGTTCACCGGATTTCCGTTCACTTTTAGGAAACGGAATTTTTTAATCCAGTTTGTATTACTGCAGCTACTGATGCTGATGATCACTATCAAATCTTTTGGGAATTGTTCTTCCGGTTTACGCAGTGTTTGGCGAAGATTTTTGGGTTCCTAAGGGGCGGTTTGCTTTCACTGAACACTATTTATGAAAGATTGGTGTGGCACTCGGTAAAAGCATGCCCTATCCGCTACGCATTTGGTTGAATTATCCTGTTCCTACAAATTGGTTTCCTCTCGCCTCGCTAACTTTACAGCGACTGATATTTTTTTCTATTTTATTTGTCTTTGTCTGTCGTTTCATTGTGCGGCGTTTTAGTGGTTAAACAGGCAGGTAAAATAACTTTTGCTATTATTAAGCCAAATGTCCGTCCATATTGCACTTGTAAAGGATAGTTTGTACAGTTTTGTTACCGCCCGATGGTGTCTGGGGACAAGAAGATTTCCGGAAGACGCTATCGTAAGTTCAAACAACACCAATCATACACAATGGGAGTAATGTCTCAAAAATTTTACGAGTGCCGCAGATGTGATCTTTTGGTTAGACATAAAATTACGGGAAGTCTTTGGTTTGTATGGGGTAGCACTACTAAATGACAGCTAACGCCAAGAGGCCTTGAAGTTTTTGGCCTTATCCACGCACCATCCAAGCATCAGCTAGCTCGAAGTCTCTTACGTGAAGTGTAACTGCTTTTCAGATCAAATTTCTTATGCCCGCCAGCTGGTGAGCGGATCTTTAGTGTTCTCGGAGCTTGATAAAAAAATGCTCGGTTTACTGAAGGTAACTTTCACCCTATTGGAGTGAGGTTATGGAGGTTTACCAGATTACGAGCGGCCTTGTTCACCACTCTTCGCATGCTTCATCGGATGTTGAAATGCGTCTGCTTTTGGTTGGTCCACTACATGATCGGCTCTGCAGCACTTGGGATCAGTCGGCCTTCGCTTTTTTTCAAGCCTTCAACCGAGAGGTCAACCTGCAGGTGAAATCAGTCTGTGCTGGAAAGCCTAGTTTCACTGATCAGCTGTTTCGTCACTGATGGACATCAATGAGCATCTCACGAATCTGTCGGTAGACTGGAACCTGTCACTCTCCTGCTGGTATCTGACCCCTGCTGATCAGTAGAATGATCAAACAGCACCAAGAGAGGATTCGTCACTTCACACCAAACCAACCCTTATTCTGGTTGTGCCGTCAAACTCTTCGCCTGTCCAGAAAAGGCTTCCAGACTGTAATTGCTTTGTCAATGAAATTCTAGAGGCCCTGCGTTTTGACCCGAACGTGATGTTTGACAACTACGAGATGTGGGAACAAGCATTGTATCACCCTCACTTATGAATCATGGGACTTCGTAGCAGCCGGAAACATGACTCTTCCACAATATTCATGGAGAAGCTTCAAAACTTTATACAACAAGTCAGCGACAACCTTCCGAGGTCTACGAAACGCCGTTGAGTTCTGGTAGACGAACTGTCCCCACAAAAAGGACTCTGTAAGTGAAGTGATCGGTATGAAGAAGCTAGATTCAATTGGATTTAGCTCATATTTATGCGAAGTTTTCACCAGAATGTTAACCAATTCAGCGGAACCAAATAATGCTTGCAGAACTCAATGTCAGTTCCATGAACTGAAATCCTGAATGTGAGGTTCGGTGACCGATCGAAGGCCAAGATAGCAGGATCATGAAGATTTCACTGCAGAAAATCAAAGCTGTTATTTCTCTTTATCTGATACTTGTTTTTTTATATCTTCTCCTGTCCACAGAGCTGTCTGGAGAACCTATAGCGGTGTTTTTCCTATTGGGCGACACACCATTAACAATACAGTTTTAGCCCACCTGCTCAATACAAGAGACCAGACCAACGTTGCAACGTCATCTCAACCTACTTTTGAAGTTTCATCATATTTTAGCCGTAAACCATCAGTGGAGCCTTTGGCATACCTGTTCACAGGCCTCACCTTTGTGTTCAGAAGCGCTTTGCGCTGATATGGCATTCATCTGGGCAGAAAATTGCATCCTAACCCAACGCGAGTTGTTTGTGACGAACATATATATATATCTGCAGAAGAAACATCGGAATAGTCCTGGAGCCTGATAAGCAACCACAGATCAAGCACCAATAAAGATCTTGAAGATCTTAAAATCCTTTGAATTTTGTCCAAATGAAAGCCTTGCTTTGTGTAACTCATTTCGCACAACTTATCAGGCAACTGATGCTGATTCTGAGCTCAGAGATCCGTTAACCATGACAGCGAACATGTGTTGATTAACCTATCCCGATGAATTCTGAAATTCCAAATCTCATTGCTTTCATCATCTTCACCAGGTGCACATTTTGACTTGATTTTTTGAACAGTGATAAAACCCAACACAGTGCAGTACATCAGCAAATAAACCTCGAAATCCGAAAAAACTTTGGGGAGGTAACTTTGAGGGCTGAGACACTTTTCCGCATTCCCAGAAGGAATTCAACCCCCCGGAATAGAAAGCGAAGTATTTTCTGGTTCTCATAGTGTCTTGTTTATGTCCCATGGAAAATACACTGCGCACCTGCTCTAATTCGCTAACCCAACTTTACAAACGTACTGCTGCTTTAATTAGTTAAAGTTAAAGGATTCGGTAACGTTTTCTTGAATAGAAAGTTTCAGATGCGGAATCGGTCTGGAAAGATGAATGTATAAATAAATAAATAAATAAAGTAATAAACGACTCGTGGTAACTCACTGACCATCGAGTTCGTGTTGTGACCCCAAGAAGAGTAAAACCGGTTATGGGCTGTCGAAGAGTTTCGACATCCTTGTGAATGGTGGTCGTTGGCTTGTTCGCTGAGCTGGGCAATTTGATTGCAAACGTTTCATCACCAGTCGAGGTGACATCATCAGTGCGTTTTTGTGGAGCGTAGTAGTGCGTAGCGGTGATTGGTGATGAAACGTTTGCAATCAAATTGCCCAGCTCAGCGAACAAGCCAACGACCATCATCTACGATACCTGAGCTACCAACATTTTCCTCTATAGAAAATCCTTGTGAATATTATTCCCCATGAAAATATACTGCGATATCTCGAATATCGTAGCAACTTAGGGATGAGGCGAACTTCTTACAGCACATTCAGGATAACCGAGAGACTCGACTGTCTCCCGTGAAAACCAGTTTGGGTTCCCTAGAGAAAAAGCAATTTTCTACAGGGCTCTCTGTGGAGGGCTGCTATTCTTAGTGTCTGACCGGGCCACAGCTGAAGAAGCGAAATCTGAAACTTTGCTAGTTATTGAAAATACTTCCAAACATGGAAACAATACCGGATAAGGCGAGTCAGGCTGTAGTTTGGATGGGCGAGCTTACTGGACTCTAGGGTAAAGGCAATACATGTAAAGTTTATCGTCAACCCAATTTAGGTACGACCCTTTCTACTGAACTTATTGCGACGAATAATTGGTGTACTCTGCGCATCTGAATTCCGCCCCCCCCCCACCTCATCAGCTAATGGTTGTAGCATGCCGCACTACAATTACCCCACGACTGTTTGTTCGAATGTAAGCTGTTTACGTATTTGACCATTCGAAAATGATGGAATGTATGATGGATCCAGACATCCAGGCACGTCTGTTTCAAAGATTTGGTGATTGTGGTCGACCTGCACACAAAAAATGAATGGATTGGCTCAGAAAGCCCACCAGAACCACAAACTAGGCTTCCTTTGTCGTAACTGTTTGCACAATTCACGTTCGGATCAAATTAAGTTAAAATTACCCCAAATCCCAGAAGGCGAAAGTCACTTCGCTTCTTTCGGATAACCAAAACCGAAGAAAACACCTATCCACCTCTTCTGTCATCCCCCGTGTGGTCACACACTCTCTGGTAGACAGGCTGCGGAACAGAGGAAAAATTGATCGTCTCCCTTGTGTTCGTCAATGTGTTTGTGTGCATCTCTCTGACTACGGACAACAAAGTGGCTAAATCCCGGTTTTCTTCTGCGTTTGTAGGCATGTCGTCAACATTGCCATCCTCCTTGGCAGCGTGACCAGTATCACTTATTCGGTTTTGAAACAATGATGGACGACAGTATTGTCCGCAACTAGAGGCATCGGCATGATGATAGAACGCTAACTCTTCGGTCAGTAACGCCAGGGAAATGGGGGGAGTGTACTTGCAATAACTTTGACAATTTGAAAGACTTGTTAGCGTCTGAGTCAGATTTCTCCTCGGGCTACGACATAATCGCCCGTGTTCATTGGCATTTACTGGAGATTTTAAGCGCAACTTTGCGTTTTTTGGTGGAACCAGTGAACTACAATAGTAGAAATTTGGTTTTCACGAGAGACTCAGCTGAATCTCTCGTTTATGATATTCTACAACAGACTATGCCGCACACAGGCCGCCTCATGATTCAGTTGGCACGATATTCGAGATATCGCGGGCTATCGAAGGGTTTCCAGTAACCTTGTGAGTAGTTTCCTTCCTGAAAATATACTAGTGGAAAGTTAAGCGAGGTGAACAAGCTCAAATGAGAACAAGGATTCGGTGAAATAGTTTTGTAACTGGTAACAGCAGTTTCGCCACTTGCGAACTCATATTTTTACTGGCTACGTTTATGAGATGACTGAGACAGTAACTTAATTTGGTTACATACATTCATAAGGCGAGATGGCCCATGTGGTTAGAGCGCGAATTCACTGACCGGAAGGTCCATGATTCGAATTCGACCTCTGCCTCTCGACTTCCCCTGTCTAGGCTTGGGCAAACTGGCAGTATCCCAGCCCTCATGCTTCCTTCGGGTGGCATGGCAGCTAGGCACCGAAAGGGTGCTACAGCTGAACGTTTTTTAATGTATATTCACACGAGTTTGTTGACACACAAGGGTAAGCGCGGCTAAGTTACTGATGATCGCGATTTATAAAATACGGATGACGGTTTAGAATACCCTTTATTTTTTGCACATTTCTGCTCCTTATCCCATCAAGACTTTCGAACTTGGAGCAGAGGCATTCCATAAAATGTGGCTAGTGAATACACAGAAATTAGCGCAATTGTTTAGGCCGATCTGTGCGTTATATTACACGGGCACAAACCATCCTTACGTAACCATCGACAGCACAAAATCAACGTTCAACACTGATGCTGTGCTGCCGTACTATTATGATAGTATTTCTAATTGTATGAACATGGCTTAACACTAACTGGGATACTGTCAGATTGCCAAGACCTAGACAAGGGAGCCTTTAGGATCGTCAGTTAATGCATATGGCTCAAAAGCTTGACCGCAAGGCAGCGGTGTGGTGCAAAATGCCAATGCATTGTTATTTTTGGAAAAAAACAAGCCACTACATATGTTCCAGTTCTCAACCTGGAGGAATAGGATCAATCTGTTGGTCAGACCTCTAACCACCGACCAAGGTGGTGTGCAAGACTCAGTGGGTGTCGTATGGACACTCCCAGTCGAGCTCAGTGGGTCGCGGAGGATCAGAAACCGTCGTACCACGATATGGTAAGGTCTCTTCGTAACCAGGCGCAAAACACACAACAGGGAAGAACTAGTAACTTCAACAGAAATCATCACTTGGTTCTCCATCATTCGTTATCCCTTATTTGAATGTGTGAATGATGCTACTGACCTAATTCTCATCTTGGAACTATTCCTATTGTGATTCCTACAGAATGAAGTTCCAGTCCAAGTTCGGTAACCAGGAACTTCGATCGAGGGCATCTAAATACATGGGGTCTTTGTGAACCCAAAAGTAGTCAGTGCATTCATCCAAAGCGTATTCAGCGACACAGAGTGCACATATACCGGAAATTGTCGTACTGGCTCTTTACTTGATCAAGCTAAAACGTTTGCTTCCTCTCTACAGCTAAAAGAAAAGTCTGTGTTACAAAACCGTGTTCTTCCGATAAGTGTTGGTGGTGCTGTTTCCATACTCCCACCAATAAACAGAAAATGTGTACAAAACGTCGTATTTCTGCTTTCTTCTTGACTGGTCGTGTACACGCGAACTGATATGACGGCCTGACAACCCTGAATGTGGCAAAACGGATCGGTTTCAAACACCAAAGTTGTTATCTAGTTAGTCTATTGTCGGAGTGTAGCAGTGTATCAACTCTTTAATGATCAGAAGTCAGCGCCATTTAGAAGAAATTTTCAACCTCGCGTGACCGAGTTTGAAAGTTTTCTTCTGAGTCAGTGGGTAATCTTGAATTCTCACTTTGTCTGCACGTCCATGACGGCTTCCGGAGTGCCTTTGCGACACATCCATCACTGAGGGAGCCGCTGTCTGTGGATATCAGCGTGATTGCTTTTGTGGTTGCGTTTTCATGGCTGAAGTCAACTTCCTTCTAAACTAGTCACACAGTACCGTAAACTAATAATCCAGCATGCGACTTCTAATTCCCTAATGCCGGACGACTTTTCTTGCTCTCAGAAATTACCCACCACCCCCTTCTGACACACATTCCACTTTGGCCAAAGAGACACTGCGGTGAATGAATAGACCAAAATCTTATTTCCTTCCCAAGTCATTCACGTAGCGAACTGTGATCATGTAGACTCAAATGCTCCTCATTACTGAATATCATTCTCACATTCCTACCTCCAGGTGCAGCCGAATACGGTGCCTTTTTCTTTTCGGACCGTTGCAGCTTTTGTCGAACCTCCTGACGCAAACACTGAAGATGAGAATACTTTTCTTGGTACAGTCGTGGCATACGTTCTTCATGGAATTTTTAGACACTGCCCAGACAGACTGACACTAAATTTGTTTGTTGACGCTACTGGTCTACCTACTTCCCTTGCAGTCCACCTGTGAACTATTCCCATGTTTCCAGATGCCAAAATGTTATCTTTTTTTAGTTTGGACAGTGATCGGCTGCTGAGACGATGACGATTTGCTAATCGATTCATCTCGTCTGCAGACAGCAATAACTAGAACACACACTAACCAACACAACGGGGGAAGTTGTGGGACTTTGACTAAGCCCTGCACACCATTCATGAAAGTATGC